GATCCACCTGGCTCTGCCTCCCGAGTGCTGGGATTAAAGGCGTGCGCCACCACCGCCCGGCCAAAAAAATTTTTTTTAAGTTCAGAATGTAGTGTGGAGACACACGCCTTTAATCCCAGCACCCCAGAGGCAGAAGCAGGTGGATCTTTGTGAATAAGGGCCCCAAGCCAGCCAAGACTACGTAGTGAGACCCAGTCTCAAAACAAGCAAAACAACATAAATACGGGAAGCATATGATAAGCAGTAGTTTAATGAAATTATACAATGTGCAGAGTTCTCAAATTGTTACAGTGAAAAAGAAATAAAATTAGTAAACAACTTAGGGTACATTTTAATACTGATATAACAGCAATAGCAGCTTTGCAAATGTTTTACCTATAAAATTTCTGTTTTATTGAGACAGGGTCTCACCAAGCTGCCCAGTCTGGCTGGTGGCCTTGAACTTACATTTCCCTCCACCTCAGTCTTCCAAGTATCTGGGACAACTGTCAGAAGCCACTATGTCCAGCCTAGCTTTTATTGTATTAAATGAACCTTCTGTGCCATAGAATGAAGTTATTTCAGTCACTCTGGTAAAGTGTATATTGGTTTATTAATATTGTAAACATTATAAGTGTCCCACAAAATACCACTCTATTATGAATCCTTTATTTTCAGTAACCATTTCCCTTATTTTTACATAATATCACACTAGCTAGCATGTTTTCAAAAAAGTTCTGCTGGATTTGGTGGTGGAGGCAAGATCAGAAGTTCAAGGTCATCCCTGATTAAATAGTTCCAGGACAGAATGGGCTACATGAAAACCTGTCTCAACAAGCCACAAACAAACAAACAAACAAACAACCGTCTAGCTAGTCCTAGATATATCTTTTCTGTATTATAAACATAATGTGGGTCTCATACATAAGCAGGACTGCCTCAATGTGCTCAAACACTGCCCCTGGGACTACTTTACAGTCTGGTGACTCTCTGACAACATAATTTGGCATCTCAAAGTAATATCATTCAATGGAAATACAAGGGGGCTGGAGAGATGGCTCAGTGGTTAGGAGCACTGGCAGTTCTTCCAGAGGATCTGGATTCAATTCCTAGCACCCACATGGCAGCTTACAACTGTCTATAACTCCAGTTCCAGGGGATATGACACCTTCACACCAACGTACATAAAATAAAGTTAATTTTTTTTTAAAAAAGGAAATATAGGGATTTGACCTGGAGCTATAACTCAGTGGTAGAGTTTCTTACCTGCCATGCTCAAGGCCCTGGTTCAGTCTTTAGAACCAAATATATTTAAACAGAACCCTCCAGGAATGTTTAGGGGACTGCTAAATTACCTTTTGGGGTACAGTGAACTGGAAGATTAAAAATTTAAGGCTATTATCTATGTGGCTGCTTCCCATCAGACTAGAAAGTTCAGTGTACATCTGAAGTCTTTGGGGGGGGGGTCCTTTTGTTTTTGTTTTTAATGGATAAGGGGGCCATTACATAGGGTGGGTAACAGCATCAGAGGTGATCCTGGAGCTGAGGGTATGGCTCAGTGGTAGAAGCACTTGCCCGCATGCTCTAAGCCCTGAAACCCCTCTGTACCAGAAAAAAGCACAGTTACTCCTGCACCTTGACTCACACTCACTTTAATGGGAATTATCCATCTATTCTACTTAGAACGGATGTTAAGGGATCCTTGCTGAAGCTATACAGTGTTCACTGCCAAGAAGACATGTGTAATAAAACCATGGAATCTCAGAAATGAATTGTAACTTCTTGAGGATGGACAAATAAGGTAGCTAAGTAAAATATAAGGTTTTCAGTTCAATGTGAATTTCAGACAAACAATAACACATATATACTCCTCTAGTTGCTGTGATGAAATACCTGAGGAGAGCAATTTAAGGAAGGGTTTGTTTGCCTTATAGTTCACTATACACTCTGTCTGGAGGGAGGAGAGCAAGACAGCAGAAGCCTAAGCAGCTGCTCACATTGCATCCACCGTGAAGAAGATCCCAGCTTAGGGGATGGTGCTACCCACAGAGGGTGTCTTCCCATCTCAATTAACCTAATCCAGATAATGTCTGAGAAAGTCCATCTCCCAGGTGATTATAAATAATATGAAATAGACAGCTCTCTCTCTCTCTCTCTTTCTGTGTTAGTACTGGGGATTGAACCTGGAGCTATGAACATTCTAGACAAGTACTATATTCCTCCCAGCAAAGACCTAAATACATTTTTTTAAAATGTAAGTGGTTTTCATTCAATACTAAAGAGATATTTCTACTAGCTTAGTTAGTATGTACATGGCCTTGAGTTTGATCTGTAACACTTAAATATTTATAGTTTAGTAGGACAGTAAGTATAAGCTTATTTGTGGTTTATCTGAAATTCAAATTTAATGGAGCATCTTATATTCTTCTTTGCTAAATCTGACAACGCTAGACTGGCAAGAATGAATGAAGTCCAGTGAGAGACACAATACTACTGTCAGCCAATACACAGGCTGATAAGGACCAGGAACCTGGCTTCTCAATAAAACTGCCATGGACCACAGAGAATCCTTGGCGAGGCATTCTGGAAAACTGAAGTTTCATGTTGAAATCATGAAAATTTTATTTGACTGCAGGAAAATGGACAGTGGATATAAAATGTAAAGTATACAAGGTGGAGGTTATAAGCCCAGGGTACATGTACTTAGCAGGTGGGAGGCCCTGGGTTCAGCCCCAGAAAAAAAAAAGCGTCTTAGTGAGCCAGATAAAGCCACCTACCTAAGTTGCTAAGTCATTTTAGAAATGTGTCATTACATTCTAACCAGATTTGGCTGACACCTGTAATTCCAGCATTTGGGAGGATGAGAACAGAGGATTGCCAGGGATCCCAGGACAGATTGGGCTATAATGTAAGACTCCATTTCAAGCAAACACAGGGTACTTGTGTTTGCTTGAATTTTTCAGGTCACATGGAGGGTTTTTTTTTGTGTTTTTTCCCCCTCTAAATTACTTGTTTATTTATTTTAAGACAGGGTCTCACTGTATAGTTCTGGCTGATCTGGAATTTACTATGTAGACCAGACTGGCCTCAAACTCCCTGAGATCTTTGGGCTTCTGCCTTCTAAGTGTTGGAATTGAATGCATACATCCCCATGCCCAGATAGAGGGTCTTATTTTATGAGTCAAGTTTGTAGCAATGAATGAATCAGCCTGAGATGAACAGGAACCAGGCTATGTTCTTTCTTTTCTTTTTCTTTTTCTTTTTTTCTTTTTTTGGTTTTTCGAGACAGGGTTTCTCTGTGTAGTTTTGGTGCCTGTCCTGGCTCTCGCTCTGTAGACCAGGCTGGCCTTGAACTCACAGAGATCCACCTGCCTCTGCCTCCTGAGTGCTGGGATTAAAGGCGTGCGCCACCAGTGCCCGGCCTTTATTTTCTTTTTAAAATTTTATATTTTTAGTTATGTGTTTGTGTATCTGTGTACACGTGAGGGCAGGTGCCCGCCTAGCCAGAAGAGGGCAGTGAATGGCTTGGACCTAGAACTATAGGCAGACATAAGCCACTTGAAGTGAGTGCTAGGACCTGAACTTGGGTCCTCTGCAAAAGCAGCAAGTGCTCTTAACTGCTGAGCCATTTTTTCTAGTACTCAAAATATTTTCTTAATGTCATAACTATATTTATATAATAAACTAGTTATACCATTAATATTTTTTAACATGTTTATTAATTTTGTGTGTTGAAGTGGGCACATATAATAGTGTACATGTGGAGGTCAGAGGACAACCTGTGGGAGTCAGTTCTTCCTTCCCTCCATTTGGGTCCTGGGCACTGAACTTGGGTCATTTGGCTTGGGGGCAAGTGCCTTTACCCATTGAACCACATCACCAGTCCCTATGGAATTAAATCTGAACAGCCACTTTAACCTAAACTGGGTAATTCCAGGATACACATTACATTGCAGATTGCACCTTCCCATCGGGTCCCCTTACCATCACGACCACCAGAAAGCATCTAAATGCTCTCTGTTTGCCACAGTATGTGTAGGCTCCATACATACTCACTCTGATTCTTCAAGCAGAATTACATTCGTAGAGCTATACATATTTTAGTACATGAAAATTTAGGGGGTTTGAGCTGTCATTGTCTGGAGCTCTCCATGGAGTCAGGCGGAGTTGGCCTCAGTTTTGGTCATCAAAGCTGCTTGTAGGAAGTGGCAGGGGCTGAGTAGGGCTTTGAGGATGAGCCAGCTATGAAAACAAAAGTCACAGGTATAACATGAATGATGCTCCTATGGCCATCGCAAGTCTTCTTCCTTATTAACAAAGCCTTGGCGTTTTCTGCAAGGCAACATTGCATTCCTAGCGACCCTCCCCAGCTTTCCTGATACAAGCAGAAGCTAAGGAGCCTTTTGCCCCCGGTCTTTCTCCTTTTGCCTGAGATGTGACTGCATGGGAAGCACTGCCCCTGTGCACCATGCGGAGAAAAGCCGGGCATTGAGGGTGAAAGAGCGCGAGAAACGGTGGCTCATGTCTGGAGCCCCAGCACTTGACAGTCGGAGGCTGGACTGCTACAAGTCTGAGGCCAGCCTGGGCTACATAGTGAGATTCCGTCTCAAAACCAAAACCAACCAAACAACCAAACTAAACACAAGGAAATGGGTAAAGAGCAGGAAGGACATGATAAAGCAGCTGCACCAGCCATGGATCTCCATTTCCCAGAGAGATTCTCAGGCGAGAAACCCCCGGAATTCCAGCTGGGGTGGGAGCCCATGCTTGTAATCCCAGATAGGAGTTCGAGGCCAGCCTGGTCTAGCTAGCAAGTTCCAGGTCAGTCAGAGCTACAAGGGAAGACCCTGTCTAAAAAACAAACAAACAAACAAACAGCTTCTAGTGGTTGGAGATTTACTTCAAAGAAGAGTGCTTGCTGGGCAATTATAAGGCCCTAGGTTTGGTTCTCACTTTAAAAAAAAAAAAAAAGACAAACTTAAAAAAAATGAATTCATTGTAGGCCAGCCCCAGTTACATGGCTACTTGAGACTCCTGGAAGCGGGGTGGGGGGGTATGTTTATATAAAAAAATGTAGAGTTTCCTTTTTTGTCTTTCTTTTTAAAATTTTCTTCTTTTTTGTTTTTCTAGATGGAGCTTCTCTTGAGTAGCCTCAGCTGTCCTGGAACTCACTCTGTAGACCAAGCTGATCTCAAACTCACTGAGCTCTGCCTGCCTCTGCCTCCCGAGTACTGGGATTAAAGGCGTGCGTCGCTCCCCCACACTATTTGTTTTATAGATCTAAATGAATTGATATTTTGTCACTTGTGGCTGGGTGCAAACTCTGGGTAGACTTGCTTTACAGTTAATGGGAGCATAAGGGCTGAGTGAGAAAAGTCATTCTTTAACAATCTTCCTATGGATCTTCCTACTAAGTGGATTTGTGGTAACACAGCATATGGCAAAATTTCATCTGTGATTTTTTTCTATAGCACAGCATGCGGGTTTATTATTAGTAGTATATTTTCATCTGTTTCCATGGTTCCTGGTACACTGCACTAGCTATCGTGTGGGGCGAGGGTAGCAAGGGTCCTAGCGCTAACAGAGAAAGGAAGTGGCTAAGCCTTCTGCAAGGCCTCTTCCCTTTAGCTCAGGGGTCTGTGGTGCTTCTGCCCCACGGGAAGGAGGAACTACAGTGTTCAAAGCCACAAAGGTCAGCAAGCAAGTCCCAGCATTCCAGCAGGGGAGGCAGGAGATGGCTTCTCTTCAGAGCCAGTAATCCAGGAGATGAGGAAGACTAAGACGGGCGGGTGTGGAAAAGAGGAGACCAAGACCAGCAACTGTCCTTGGTTTTCGTGTGGCTCATCAAGCAGGTGATGATGGAGAAGGCTGTCCGACCTTTTCCCATTAACACTCGTTAAATGGAGTCTGCTAGCCGAACTTGTATTTCCATTCTGTCATCTGTCAGGCTCCCGTTCTAGAGACCACCACATTGTCATTTTTCAGTTTGTCATATAGGCCATTATGCCTCTCAGAGTGGGACACTTATACAGGCTGCTCTTTTGTTGCCTAGGACTTTCTCCTTTCTGACATTTATGGTAGGATAACTCTTTCCTTGTTAATTCCTATTCATTCTTTAATTGTCTCTGCCCAGAGCAATACCTACGGAAGTCTTCTAGGCTAGGCCATCTTGGCTAGATCATTTCCTGTTTTCTTGCTCTTTTCCTTCATAGCACTTACTATGGGATGAGACAATAAGGAATTATTTGATTCACATCTATATTTTCCACTAGACTGAAAGGTTCAGGGCAGATCTGTGTCTGCCTTTTCACACCAGTCCAATCCTGGTATTCTAGCACAGTGCTTACCATACAGGAAGCACTTGATAATATCTCATTAAAGGAAATTAAACCACCAGACATTTATTAACAAAGGGGAAATGATAATCCTAGCTGTATATTACAATAATTTTTCTTTGCAGAATTTTATACCAAATAATTAAAGCATTTTGCAAAGCATACAGAATGAGAAATTATCATTCTTTGATTTGGTTGTTTGCCTCTGCAGCATTAGAGGTTGATCCCAGGGTGTCCCATGTGCTAGGTAAGGGTTCCGACACGGAGCTACATTTCCAGCCTCTTTCTGCTGCTTCTTCTTCCTCCTCTTTCCTTCTCCTTCTTTGAGACAGGGTTTCTTTGTGTGCTGCCCTGGCAGTCCTAGAAATCACTCTGTAGACCAGGCTGGCCTCGAACTCAGAGATCCACCTGCTTCTGCCTCCCAAGTGCTGGGATTAAAGGATACCACCGGGTGAACAGTATGCACTCTTAACCACTGAGCCACATTTCTGGCCCCTATTATTATTACTATTGTTACTAAGAGAGCTACTTTGGGTAGTGGGGCATGCCTATTATCCTAAAACTAGGGAAGTTGAGTTGGGAAGATTATGTACTTGAGGTCAGTCTGGTGGGGTACATAGTGAGACCCTCTTTCAAAATACATAAATAAATACTTTAGACTGTGATTCTAAATAAATTAGATTATTCCCCCTCCCTTCCTCCCTTCCTCCCTCCCTCCCTCCTTCCTTCCCTCCAGTGCTTGGCTTTGAGCCAGGCCCTCATGCATGCTGGGCTACATATATTCTCAGCACTTACCTAAGTTATTTTTCAGGAAAACAAACCAGAGGACTTAGTTTGGATTTTAGGTTTTTCACAGACTCACCAGAAACTTTCTCCTTAAGGCCCGAGTCATGACTGGAGTCAGTCCAGTTCCTGTTTCCATATTTTCTTTATTGACGAGAGGGGTCCCACCTGGGCTCCTATAAAAGTGTGAAAAGGTCAGAGCTGCGTTTTATCCGCACTTTTCCAACTGCCTTAGAAAGCACAGGAGAAGTGATTGTTACCTGTCTACATCGACCTTTCTCAGCAGTTTCCGCAGATCTATCTGGCTTTTACCAGGATTACTGAAAATAAAGACACAAAAATTATAACTTTCAGATTTCACCACTTCTCTAAAAACAGGTCAGGTTTTTTTTTTTTTGTTTTTGTTTTTTGTTTTTTGTGAGCTAGAGATGAGTGGATCAGTAGTCTTTTTCCAAAGGACAGTTGTGAGCTGCCTTGTGGGTGCTGGGAAATGAACCCAGGTCTACTAGAAGAGCAGCCAAGGCTCCCAACCCCTGAGCCATCTTTCCAGCCCAACAGGTCAGTTTTATAGACAATCTCCTAGAAAGTAGTTCTTTTTGCCACATTAAGAAAACAGAAGCTGGGCAGTGGTGGCGCACACTTTTAATCCTAGCACTTGGGAGGCAGAGGCAGGCGGATCTATATCTATGAGTACAAGGCCAGCCTGGTCTACAGAGCGAGTTCCAGGACAGCCAGGGATGTGATACAGAGAAACCCTGTCTTGAAAAACAACAACAACAACAACAACAACAACTAATAATAATAATAATAATAATAATAATAATAATAATAACAGGATAACAGCAGCAGATGCTGATGGAAGCCTAAGGTGATATTACATAGTTGCCCAACCCCAGGTAGACCAGGCTGGCCTCAACTCAGAGATTTGCCTGCCTCTGCCTCCCGAGTTCTGGGATCAAAGGCGTCCACGTCTCTATACCTTATATAGCCATTCCAATAAGAAATATATTTTCCTTTCACAGTGATGGTGGGGTTTGAACCCAGGGCCTTGCACAGTCTAAGTACTTATCACTGAGCTACATAATCCTCAGCCCAAAGCGAAACTGTAACAATACCTGTAAAATGTATCCTAGGAAAGACTAAGCATAAGGATGACAGTCAGGAAAGTTATGAGGAGTGACAGGAACTCACAATCCTAATGTCTCCAAACAGGATTTCAGATAAGAAATTTACGGCCGGGCGGTGGTGGCGCACGCCTTTAATCCCAGCACTCGGGAGGCAGAGCCAGGCGGATCTCTGTGAGTTCGAGGCCAGCCTGGGCTACCAAGTGAGCTCCAGGAAAGGCGCAAAGCTACACAGAGAAACCCTGTCTCGAAAAACCAAAAAAAAAAAAAAAAAAAAAAGAAATTTACATAAAAGAAGTTATACTAAATCAGTCCAAATGATGATTCATGCTCATCCCTCTTTTCGTTCTTTCTTTCTTTTTTTTCTTTTTTAAAGGAAGTTAAGAGTTTATTTAGGCTTATGACAGAGGAAGTGATGCAGGCTGGGCATAGTGGTGCATGTTTTCAACGCTATTACTTGGGAGGCAGAGGCAGGTGAATCTCTGAGTTCAAGGCCAGCCTGGTTTACAGAGTGAGTTCCAGGTCAGTCAGGGCTACGTAGTAAAACCCTATCTTAAAAAAAATAAAGTAAAATTGAAAGAAAAAAAAAAAAAAGAACAGAAACAATCCATCATGCAGGGAAGGCAGGGCAGTGAGTGTGTCAGGGTCTGGTTGCTGCAATGTACCCACAGTCAGGAGTCAGGGAGAGATGAATGAAATCTAAAAACAAAAGTGTGTGTGTGCGCGCGCGTGCGCACGCGCGTCTTCGTGCCACAGTTCACATGGAAGGCCAGAGAATAATTTAGATTTGGTTCTCTCCATATACCTCATGGGTCCCAGAGATTCACCTCAGGTCCTAGGTCCTGGCAGCAAACACCTTTACCTGCTGAGCCATCTCACCAGCCCTGAAACTGGAAGTCTGAAAAATGTCTGCTTGTTTAAACAGGGTATCGTATAGCTCAGGCTGGCTTTGAACTCACTATTGTAGCTGCTGATGACTTTGAACTCCTGATCTTCCTGGCTCCACTTCCCAAGTGTTGGTATTATGGGCATGTGCCATCACACCTGGTTAAAAAACCTTGTTAATATTTTATTTTTGCCTCAAATTTGTTATTAAATAAGTGATATGTCATATAAAAGACAGCCTCTCCGGTGAGTCAATAAAGTAGTGAATATTCAGAAAAAAGACTAGAATTATAAAAATTAAATCAAACAACAACAATAACAAAATCATCAATTATGTTCTCAGTAGCAGTCTCTAATGACAGGATTCACTATTAGATTGGGAGTTGAAGGAATTACACAGATCCAAGTGAACCACCTACATGAATTTTGTTTTTCTCTTTGAATTTTTCTGTAGGTTTCAATTCTTCTATAGTGAGCATATGTAATTTTAAAAGTTAAAAATGCAGCAGGGTGTAGTGCGCATGTCTTTAGCCATAGCACGTGGGACGCAGAGGCAGGTGGATCTCTGTGAGTTTGAGGTCAGCCTGGTGAACATACAGAGTTCTAGGACAGCAAGAGCTATATAGTGAAACCCCGTCCTGAGACAAACAAACAACAACACAAAACAAAAAGTTAAAAATGGCCCCTGAGATGTTTCAGTGGGTAAAGACCCTTGCTGTATAAGCTGGACGGCCAGTGTTGATCCCTGAGAATCCATATAAGGGTGAAAGAAGACCAACTACACAATGTCTGTCTGCTGACCTTCATACAAAGGCAGTGGCATGTGTACATGTTCCCCTCCCCAACACACACATACAACAATGATAAACTACTTTTAAATCTTAAAAAGCAGCAAAGGAAAACCAGCATTTTAAGTAGCAGCAGAGCATAATAATGTGCAATTACTTACATTAAGACATTTTTAACTCGTGTGGCTAACACCCTGGAGTTGGGTTTCAGAGTAACACGTTGCAGGTCAGAGATAGTAACTAGTGGATTTCGTTCCTCTGGTGGTGATGGTAGAAGCTTTAACTACAAAATGAGACATTAAAGATACATATTAAAATATCATTCTAATGCAAATACCCCCAAACAGCAAACGTTTGACTGCCAGAGGGTACATTTTCCATGATTCAGTTCTTTATTTCAAAGGGTCAAAGGCTCTCTCTCACACTCCCCCATCTCTCTTGGGTTCTACTAGCTGGATCCCGATGGTCAGACCAAGCTGGTATGGAACTTGAATAGTGTGGCCTTGAATTCAAAGAAATCCTCTTGCCTGAGTATAGGTGCTAAGAATACAGGTGTGAGGCACCACACCTACCTACTATATGTCTCTCAGGCTGGCCTCTTGACTTCCTGTGTTCCTAAGGATGACTTTGAACTCCTGATTCTTTGCAGACACCTCCCAAGTGCTAGGATCATTAGTGTACACTATTGTGTATGGGTGTATATGATAGATGTGTGTATATGTGTGTGAGTGTGTGCATGGAGGCCAGGGTCAATGCCAGGCATTTTCATTATCACTTACTATCATGTTGAGACAGGGGCTTTCACTGAACCTGGAGCTCACTAAGTGGCTAGACCTGTTAGCCAGTGAGTTTGGGGGTCTGACTGTCTCCGCCTCTCCAGGGTTAGGAGTATAGGTGGGGTTGCCTTTTTTTCACATGGGTGTTGGGGATCTGAACTCAGACCCTCAAGCCTGTGTGGCAAGCACTTTTCCAACTGAGCCATCTCTTCAGCCTGTTTTTTTTTTTTTTTTTTTTTTTTAAATACTGGAGAGTGAAACCAGGGCCTCATATGTGTGAGGCAAATGCTCTGTCATTAAACTGTATACCTAGCCCCAACAGAGTAACTTCTTTTTTTTTTTTTTTGGTTTTTCGAGACAGGGTTTCTCTGTGTAGCTTTGCGCCTTTCCTGGAGCTCACTTGGTAGCCCAGGCTGGCCTCGAACTCACAGAGATCCGCCTGGCTCTGCCTCCCGAGTGCTGGGATTAAAGGCGTGCGCCACCACCGCCCGGCCAGAATAACTTCTATACACAAGGTTTACCATATTTTCCCAAAGGAACAGCCATGTTTAAAAAGGAAGAAGCAAGGCCTGACACTGTGTTTCTAACATTTGTGAGGTTTAGGTGTGGTGCATTCAAAGATTTGAAGTCAGCCTGGGTTAAGTAGCAAGAAAAACATACCTTCGAGCTTGGGAGATAGCTTAGTTGGTACAGTGTTTACAGTGCTAATTTACAGTGTTAATCCTAGCACTTGGGAGGCAGAGGCAGGTGGATCTCTGTGAGTTTGAGGCCAGCCTGGTTTACAGAGTGAGTTCTAGGACAGCCAGGGCTACACAGGGAGATCCTGTCTATAAATAAATAAATAAATAAATAAATAAATAGGTGTAAGGTGGAAAGTGATAGAGGAAGACACCCCATATTAACCTCTGGCCTCCACATAAGCACCCACAAACACACAACTATAACACTTATACAAAACACCCCCAGCCCCAAAGGAAGAAGGCCTTGTGTGTTCACGGTGACATCTTACCTTCTTCCTTTCTTCAATACTCTGTGTCTTTTTTAGTTTTACAGTGAGTAGATCTTTAACAGTTATATGCATAGGTCCATCTTTCTTTAATGGTTCAGTCTTAAAATACACGGAGAGGTTAGGATTAAAATTGGCATCAGGACATCCAGTGAAATCCAAATCCAAGTTTACTTTGTAAAGATTCAGAGTTGAAAGTTAACGTGTTATCGTTATTTATTTATTTTTATCATTTTTGCTTTTCCTCTACCATTATTTTTGAGATAGGGTATTGCTCTCTGGTCCTGGCTGTCTTAGTACTACATAGGTAGCTTCAACTGGCCTCAAACTCACGGCAATCCTTTTGTGTCAGCTTCCAAATGCTAGGATTATAGGAATGTACCACCACACCCGTCTAAAGTTAACTCTTATTTACCCTAGGGATTAACACATTCTCCGTGAGCAAGCAAGAATGACAGGGGTATGAGTGGGTAGTGGTGCGGTGTGAGTGGATGGGGTGGTGCCAGAGCACCTTAATTTTTTTTATTTGGAGCTAGAGAGATGGCACAGTGGTTAAGAGTACTTGCAGAGGGCCTGAGTTCTGTTCCCAGCACCCATGATGCACAGCCGTCTATAACTCCAGTTCCAGGGGATCCAACACCTTCTTCTGAACTTTTCAGGCACTAGGCATGTACATGGTACACAGACACACAAGCAGGCAAAACACCCATTCACATAAGATGAAATAATTTTAAAATTAAAAAAGTATACATATTTTAATGTATATTCATGTTTGGACTGCATTTATGTATGTGTACTGCATGTATGCTTGGTGCCTTTGGAGTCTACAAGAGGATGTCAGATCTCCTGAAACTAGAGTGATAGAGAGTTGTGTCCTACCAAATGGGTGCTAGGAACCAAACTCTGGTCCTCTGCAAGAGCAGCAAAGTGCTCTTAACCGCTGAGCCATCTCTCCAGCAACTCTACATCAGAATTTTTTTTGTATGTTTGTTTTGAGACTGGCCTCAGACTCCCAATATAGCCATAAACTCACTATGTAACCAAGGATGACCTTGAACTCTGGATCCTCCTACTTGTACCTCCCAAGTGATAGGAGTAGATATGTGTTCTAGCCTTGTGAATAAAGCTTTCAAAATGTATAATAATGGAGCAAGGCATAGTGTGTGTGTGTGTGTATTTTGTGGACTACAGTCCAAGCTCCTCAAAAGCTGAAGCAAAAGATCACAAGTTAGAGGATAGCCTGTGCTACATAGTGAGTTCTAAGCCAGTCAGGGCTACAAATCAAGATCCAGTCTCAGAGAACAAATAAATAAAAGCTGCCAAGAACAAAAGCCTAAAACAAAACAAGGGAACAACAACAAGAAAACCCCAATAATTACATTACATTGACATACATCCATAATGCCAGCTACTCAAAGGCTAAAGCAAAGGGATGGCTTGAGCCCACCAGTTCAAGACCAGCTTGGACAACATAATGAAACTATATCTAAGACCAAAAACAAGCCCCAACCCCAACCCCCCCCCAAAAAAAACCCAACAAAAAACTTATAACTAAAATCATAATAATTAACAGAATTAAGATATAGAATCAAAATAAAATATAGTCTTCACATCTAGGCCTTTGGCTCAGCTTTGAAAGGCCTCTTGGCTTTATTCCTGTATTACAGTCTAACGAAAACACATTGTTACTGATTATTTCTTACCTGAAGTGCTTTAGCTGTACCAGATTTTCTGAGCAGCAAAGGTGCTAGGGGTGGTGGAGGTGGAGGAAGGGGAGGAGGAGGGGGAGGGGGAGGGGGAGGATGACTGGCTGGCTGTGGCAGTGTGGGAGGAAGTGCAGTTCTGGATTCTCCATGGGTTGTGGGAGCACAGGCAGGCACGTTTGTGAGTTTATCACTCACACAACACTTATGACAACAGCTTGAATAAGAAGAATTTTCTGAGATGGTCTGGAAGATACCATAATTGACAAACAATAGATTAATTTGGTGGTGTTTATTTGGTTCTCTCTCTCTCTCTCTCTCTCTCTCTCTCTCTCTCTCTTTCTTTCTTTTTTTTGAGACATTTCACACTCTGGCTCAGGCTGGCCTGGAACTCACTCAGGCTGGCCTTAAATTCAAACTGTTTCCTCAGCCGTCAGGGCATTAGGATTACAGGAATGCATGACCACTCCTGACAATAACAACAAAGTTACTTCTATGATTCCATTGTTTATTGGGCTAGAGAGAAATTTGGCAAGTACAGGCTTGCAGCTCTTGCAGAGGACTGCATTTAGTTCCCAGAGCAAATGGGACAGCTCACGTCTAACTCCACTTCCAGGCGACCTGACGCCCTCTTCTGGCCATCACTGGCCATCATACCCCCCCAGCCACACCCAGGCTTTGTTTTATGTTCTTGTTTCCAATGGTGAGGATCATACTCACAGCTAGAAAATATATGTGTATAATAAATTTGTATGTATGTTCCTATATATGAGGAAAGTATATGAATATCTGTATCTCATAAGGATACTTCCATTGGCTTAATGAACTTGTTAGCTGATTAGCTATTTTGAGATGAGGATCTTGCTAATTAGCCAGGCTGACCTTGAATTCCTAGGCTCAGGTGATCCCCTTGCTTTAGCTTCCCTAACAGATGGGACTATAGGCACACATCATCAGGCCCAACTGAAAAACTATCACACTATATGTTTTAACTATAGATGAAGCATCCTATAGAATCCGAACACCATCTCTTTCTATACCTCTGTATTTAATTTATTAAATGGTATGTTCTTTTTGTTCGGGTTTTTGAGACACAGTCTCATTCTCTAGCTCAGGGTGGCCCGGGACTCACTGTGTAGTCTGTGTTGGGCAATCCCCCTGCCTCAGCCACGCACTACCACACCTAAAGAAAAGTGTTGACATTGGCTGCGGGGGCTGGGGGTGTTCTCAGTGTCCTTCTGCTTCATTTTTTGACTTCTCCCAGGCTGAGCATTTGAACGTAGGATGCTGTGCATGCTAGACAAACACACTACCCCTGAACTACACCCCCAGGCTCATAAACGTTACATTTGCACACTCACCGCACTTTGGTATTTATTTTTCGCAAACTCTCCCTTCCCTCACAGTGGGGACTGAACTGGGAGTCCACATGGCAGGCAAATGCTTCATCACTGAACTACATCCCCAGCTGAGAGTAATTTCTGTGAGACAGGGTCTCCTGTATTCCAGGCTGGCCTTAAGGTCCCTATGTTATTGGGGATGACCTTACTTTCAGTTCTTCAGCCTTGCCCTCCTAAGTGCTAAGATTATGGGTGTAAGCCACCATGGCTGATTCATGTAGTGCTGGGGCCTCCTGCATGCTAGAGGAGCGCTCTACCGACTGAGCCCATCCCTAGCTACTTTCTGCTGAAAACAAAGGAAGTGTTAAAGATGCATTCATTTTATGTTGTATCTGTGTGTATGTGCCTGCTCGTCTGTGCGTGGACTGTCTGTGTAAATGCCTGCAACGTTCCGAAGAAGGCATCAGACTCCCTGGAACGAGAGTTATAGGCAGTTATGAACCACCCAGTGTGGGTGCTTGGAACTGAACCTGGGTTATCTGCAAGAGCAGCAGGTGTTTTTAACAACAGATCCATTTCTCCATTCCCTCCGGCCACAGCTGAAAATTCTGATAGCCATTTCCTTCACTATTCCCCACAAAAGTTTTATTAGTTTATGTTCTTCTCAATAATGTAAGAAAGTATCTACTTTTACAAATTTTTAATATTTTTTTGCCAATCTGATTAAGTTCAATGTTGCTCATTGAAATTCCCTTTATATTTCTATTTTGTTTGTGTGCCCAAGACCATAATTGTTCCCAATATACATTTAAAAATAGTTTTTGATTTTAATTATGTGGTTGTGTGTGTATGTGCACACATGAGTACAGGTGCCTACGCAGGCCAGAGGGGTTGGACTCCATGAAGTTGGAGTTACACACAGTTGTAAGACACCCACTGCAGGTTCTAGGGACCAAATTTGATCCTCTGCATGAGCAGTGCACTCTCTTGACTGGGGAGCCATCTCTCCAGGGCCCCATTATAGTTTTGTCTTCTTCCTTTGCAACAGGAAGTCTCTCTGCCTGACTTTTGAGGTAATAACCGAACTCAGATCCAGAGTCTTCTCCTATCATAATAGTCTTTTCAGATAACATCTCTGGACTGGTTTGTTTGGCAATACCCACCTTCAGTGTTTCTTGGAGCTTGCATAATTCACTTTTCAAAACACAAACTTGTTGTTTCAGACTGTGAAGTTCTCTGTGGTAGACTCGGGAAGGGAAGATGGCATCTTTCAGTACTTCGAAACTCTGAAATTCATAAATAAACAAGCCTGAATCTAATGAGCAGCATGCTCAAGAAAGTGGTGTCACATATGGCTTATGTAAGCAAAGACAGGTGTGATCTCACAAATTAATCTTATCCAAGCTTAGCCTCAGGGGTCTGTCAGGCCTAGGAACCATACAAGAACATACACACTAAGTATGGCCGAACAGAAACTCTATTGCTGAGAACAGGTTTATGAAACCTCTACCTGGGCTACACAGGCCTGACAGCAACTGTATATGCACCATGCTCTGTGCGTCCAAAGGTTCGCTGCATCTTTGATGCTGGGAAATCTGAAGTTCCAAGGTCGTCTTAGCCAGCTTCTGCTATGGGGTGTATCTGTTGAAGAAGTAGCCACTCTGTGGAAGGAACAGTAAACAAAACAAATAAAAAAATGTAGGTCGTGCCTGGGCATGGTGGTGCACAGTCAGAAAGCAGACGCAGGAGCATAGATTTAAGTTCAAGGGAAGCTCGTTCTACATAGTGAGTCCCAGCCCAGTCAAAACAATACAGTAAGACCCTGTCTCAAAAGAGAAAGAAAGGATGTCCCTGCTCCGGAGTCACACTTATAAAACCAGGTAGATCTCTGAGAGTTCTAGGCCAACTAGGGCTACATGGTGAGACTCTGTCTCCAAAAACAAAACATCACCCCCCAACACACACACACACACACACACACACACACACACACACACACACCCCAACTTAGGTCAGACTAAAAGCTTCTACTTAAGTAATTAGTTGGGCTTACTTATTTTAAATTAAATGAATCATTTTTGGTGCTGGGGAGTAAATCCAAGGGTGTATGCTAAGCACACATTGTAGCAGCGAGCTATACCTCTTATCACAAATAGCTAGTTTATAGTATGACTCAGATCCAGGGACTGAATGACTATCTTTTCTTTTCCTTTTCTTGAGACAGGGTCTCATTATTTTGTTCGGACTGTCCTGGAACTGGCTGTGTGGACCAGGCTTGTCTTGAACTTAAACCAACCCTCCCTCCTCTGTTTCCTGAGTGCTGGGATTGCAGGTATGCACTAAACATACATTTATGTGTATGTATGCTGCACCTGTGTGACTGTGTACCAAGTGTGTGAGAGTCTGTAGAGGCCAGACAGGAGGAGAAGAGAGCTCTGGCAGCTGGAGTTTCAGGCAGCTGTGAGCTGCCTCATTTGAGTGCTGGGAACCGAACCAGGCTCACTTGGAAGAGCAGGAAGTGCTCTTAACTACTGAGCCATCTCTCTGGCCTATATATTTTTATTTTTTGAGACACTGTCTCATGTATCCTATGCTGACTTTGTTAAACATGATATGTAGCAGAGAATACATTTGAACTCTGGTCTACTTGCCATTAGCTTCATGTGGTGGGAATACAGGTGTGAGTTACAAAGCGTGGCTCTATTTCATTTATGTATTTATTTAATGAAAAGAGCTTTAAAGTTAAGGATATATAGCTCAGCAGTCAATTTTGTTGGCTTGTTTTTTGTTTCCATATTAGACACCCTGAGTTTAATCCCTAGCATACCAAAAATAAATTAAAATAAGCTGGATGGGGGTGGTACATGCCAGGCAAACAGGAGAAACGAGAAGGCTTGAATCAGAGGACTTCCAAAAGCTCAAGGCCAGGGTGGGCTACAGTCAGTTCCAGGGTAGCCAGGACCAGAGACAGAGATTTGCACACAAAACCAACAAAGGAAGAACCTATCATCCTATACAGAGAAACCCTGTCTCTAGAAAATCAAACAAACCAAAACCAAAAACAAAAAATAACCTGTCATCAACAACAAAAGAAAGTGGAGGGGGAGGTAGGACACCAGTGGGGTACACAAAGTGTAAGTGTTTAAGAAAACCAGCACCTGGGCTGGGTGGTGGTGGCGCACACTTTTATTCCCAGGACCCGGGAGGCAGAGGCAAGCGGATCTCTGTGAGTTCGAGGCCAGCCTGGTCTACAGAACAAGTTCCAGGACAGCTGAGGCTACACAGAGAAACCCTTTCTTCACAAAACAAAACAAAGCAGGAAAACCAGCACCCTACAATTTCTGGAACTCAGCTGTTCTCTCAATAATCCATTTAACTTATGGGTCTCAAAGAACAAATGACCAATCTTATCAGAACTAAGGTTTCATTCCAGTTCTATGCCCCTCTCTCATTACTTGCTAGAATTGAACAATTAAAATCAACTGAAAAAGAGAAAATAGATACTTTGGGTTTGAATACAACTCCTTCTGATTCTTATTTCATTTGAATACAATTTATTTTTGGTGTGTGTGTGTGTGTGTGTGTGTGGACATGTGCCATGGCATGTGTGTGGAGGTCAGAAGACAGTCTCAGGAGCTGGCTCTCCTCTTCCACCACGTAGGTCCCAGGGATTAAACTGACGCACTTGGCTTGGCGGCAAGGCCTTCACCTGCTGCGCCTTCTTGCTGGCCCTACTTACTTTTCTTTCTTCTTTTGGGAGACAGGGTCTCCCTACAGATTCCTCAGCTGGCCTAGAACTCACAGAGACCTGCCTGCCACTGCCTCCTGAGTGATGCCGTTTAAGGGTTTTACCGCCATGCTCTTTTTTTTTTTTTTTTTTTTGAGAGAGAGAGAAAGAGGGTCTCACTCCATAGTCCAGGCTGGCCTGGAACTCAAGACAGCCTTCGACTCTCAGCAATTCTCCTGCCTCAGTCTTCTGAGTGGTGGGGTTACAGTTAGCATGAGCTACCGTGGCCAGCAATAATTTTGGTATAGGCACATTTCAAATTTTACATGGGACATCCTAAATATGATTTATTTGGGGGCTGAAATTCAAATTTATCTGGCTGTTCTATATTATCATAAGCTACACTGGTAACTGTACACTGATAAGCTCTAATGTTTCCTGTCTTCTCCGTTACACCTTACCTTTCTGGTGTGGGTGGTGGAGGTGGAGGGGGAGGTGTCGATAGCTTAGGCTGGACCCGAGAGGCTTCTTTCTTCTTAAATAAGCGTTTGGCTCTGGCTCTTAGCTTTCTTCTTCGCTGTTTGAACTTGGGCATGATTTCTGTAGAGTAAAATTTGAAGTTTAAAAAAACAATGCATATGGGTGTTTTGCCTGCCTGTGTGTTTTTCCACCATTTGCATGCCTTAGCACCTTCAGAGACCAGAAGAGGGCATCATGTCTCCTGGGAACTGGAGTTACAGATGGCTGTGAGCTGCCATGTGGGTGCTGGGAATTGAATCTAAGTTTTCTAAAAGAGCAGCTAGTGCTCTTAACCCTCAGGGTCATTTCTCTCATACCTGAAATATATGTTTTATTAAAGAAAGATGTATACATATAGAAATGTATAAAGATGTATACATAAAGATGTATACATATAGAAAATGTATAAACCTTCAGTGCATAGCTCAATGACTTATGATAGAGGAACTTTATATACCCTCAGAGACATCATCTTGGTTATTTTTGGTTTACTCCAGTTTTTTTCCTTCTTCTCCAGCCTTGGTTAAGAAATACATTGTAGTTGTGGGCATGGTTGTGTGTACCTGTAATCCCAGTACTGGGGGATGGGATGTGAGGCAGAAGGATGACTGAATTGGAGAACATCTTAAAGTGATCCTGTCTCCAAAACATCTGTACACACCTGTGATCTCCCCACTTGGAAGGTAGAGGCAGGTATATAGGGATTCAAGATGCCTTCAGCTACCCTGTGAGTTCAAAGCCAGCCTGGGCACATGAGACCCTGTCTTAAAACACTAAAACAAAACAAAAACCAGAGAGAAGAAAAGTCACCAGCATTCTAGAAATCGCTTCCCAGGGAAGAAAATGTAAACTCAGATTTAAAATGTCTGGAGTCTTCCTTTGGCTTTACTTTAGTCTCTCACTCTGCTTTTGTTGCATTCTTTGATGAAGGCAAATGAATTTCTCTTTTTTCTCTGCAACCCCCTCTTTCCCAGCTGGAGACCAAACCCAGGGCTTTGCATTCGTCTAGGCAAGTGCTCTACTACTGAGCTAACGCCCCTCCTCTTTAAAAAAGTCTTTTTGAGACAAGATCCTATGCATCCCAGGCTAGCCTTCAAACTCTCATATAGCTAAGAATGACTCCTGCCTCTACCTTGACTGCTGGCGTTATCTTGAGACTGGCAATATCATATTGGGTTTATGTGCTGAAGCTCCAAGCCAAGGCTTCTGGATGCTAGGCAAACACTTTACCAACTGACTACAGTACTTAGCCGTTCCTTTCCTTATAATAGGAAAATGGCTGTAGTGGATTATGGTTTGATATTAAAAAGATGGGTTTGTGATTCAGCAACATATAATGAGCATCTACTATGATAGGCAGATGTCACAGTAGGAGGAATCATTTATAAAGTGCCCCCTCAAATGTGGAGTATATTCCACTTTTCCTCTGTCAATCTTCAATCTCCTCAACTGACGAGGAGGATTTTAGTCCCAGTTTTATACAAAAATAAGCTAAGGGTTAGATTAGATGCCTGCCTAATGTAATACAGTAAAGTATAAAAACAGACCCGTAAGTCTTCAGACCACAGCTTTTCCTAGTAGACTATGGAGCAACAACAGTAACTTAAATAGGCTGTATACAAGTACCTAAAACCAAAGACCTGTTTTAAGACAGTTATTTTGAAGCACTTAAGATATTATTTAATATATTTATGTTTTAATATATATATCCTTTTCTGGGAAAAAAAAAAGTCTGGGTTAGTTTGATCTGAAGCTCCAGAAGGGCTTTGCTAGTTTTAAGTGTTCATTTCTGAGGAACAAAGGTGTTGATACTCAAGCAGCAGAAAGGAAAATGGTCTGCATCAAACTTACAAATTTGAATAGGAAAAACCAGCCTTTGAAACACACATTTAAGGACCTGAGTGGTGGTAACAACTTTAAAAGCAACGCTTGGAAAGCAGAGGCAGGTGGATCTACGCGAGTTCAAGGCTGAGCTGGTCTAATACCTTCTTCCAAGCCACCCACAGCTATCCAGTGGGACCCTGTGTCTGAGAAGTTAACAAGCATCCATTCCACTTCTGTTCACTTGGTAACCTTTTGGAACTAGGTATTTGCATATACTGCCTCGGCATTCAGATTATCAGGACACCTCCCCACTTCCCTTTACAGGTTATAAAAACTGGGCGCACGCCTTTAATCCCAGCACTTGGGAGGCAGACCAGGCAGATCTCTGTGAGTTCGAGGCCAGCCTGGGCTACAGAGTGAGTTCCAGGATAGGCTCCAAAGCTACACAGAGAAACCCTGTCTTGAGAAACCAAACCAAACCAACCAACCAACCAACCAACCAACAAAAAACCCAAACAAACCAAAAACCAAAACAAAAACTGGGAAGTGCCTTGGTATCAGTAGTCTAGTCCCTGAGGCTAACCCTCATGCCAAAAGGTTGTGGCAAAAGTGTATTTTATTGGATTAGCTGTCAATGACTGGCTTCAAACTAGCTACAGCCCAGGATGACCCTGAACTCCTGATCTTTCTGTCTTCATCTTCCAAGTGTTAGGGTTGTGTGATTTCTCACCTGTGGACATTTCATTCATCTGTTTCCTTAGATATAGCATCATTACATGTTTTATCCAATAAAGGAATGAAAGATAACATCACTTTCCAGTATTAGTCAGCAATGATTCTCTTTTTACTTAAGCAATATCCTTTAAGTCTAATGCAGTTGAGTTGTAGGTATCTTTTAGTGTGCGTTGGGGGAGGAGGGGGGGAGGAAGGGCAGTGTTAGTTATTCAAATCAGATCATATCTTTTATTTACTTATTTATTTTTTTTTTGGTTTTTTGAGACAGGGTTTCTCTGTGTAGGTTTGGTGCCTTTCCTGGATCTCACTCTGTAGACCAGGCTGGCCTTGAACTCACAAAGATCCACCTGGCTCTGCCTCCCAAGTGCTGGAATTAAAGGCGTGCACCACCACCGCCGGGCCTGATCATATCTTTATGTTAAAGGGTGGATCAAAAAACAAAACAAAACAAAAACTTCCAAGTATGAAGATTCAACAAAATAAAAGAACAAGAATTACATTGGCTGATCTAGCTCTGTTGGTAGAGAGCTGGCCTCACATAACAAGAGACCCTGAGTTCAATAATCTCCAGGGCCATGTCAATTGTCATGTTGGCACACAGGCCTGTAATCCCAGAACCGCAGAGGTGGAAGCATGGGGATTCAGAGTTCAGGGTCATCTCTTGCCAACTTGGGTTACACGAGCCGTCTCAGAATTAGTCTTCTGCACGAGTTGACCCTGCTGCTTCTGTTAAAACTCCACCAGTTACATGAAAAGCTCTTGGCTGGGGACGCATGTAAAGCTGTGGCAACAGCGGAAATGACAGTTGCCATTTCATCACCAACGTTCTAAAACACATTTTTACACCCACACAAATCGCCTCTAGTCCATTTAATTTCCATTACCAATTTAGTTGGTTCACCTTGATTACTGCGGCGTGATTTCTGCCATTTTCCTATAGTTAATTTTGTTTTATTGTGAAGTATTTTTTTCCCCTGGTTCTTTCCTGTGTCTTTCTCAGAGCGACCACAGGTCTTTAGTGTCACCTAGCACAGTACCAGACATATGGTCAAAAATCGATGTAACTCTGCATCAAGGAACATTGTAAAACCACCTGTCAAACATTCCTCCACAAACTTAAATGTGCTCAAGTACCGCGGGGGAGAGCATCTGGTTAAATACATATTCTTATTCAGTAAATTTGGATGGACCCCTATAATTTGCATTTGTCACTAGCGACCAGAGAAGCCAAAACCGCTAGTCTGTGGACCCACTTTGAGAGGCAATGAGTAACGAAGAGGACTGAGCAAAAGGCAATTGCTTCAAAACATATATTGCAGAGTGTTAAATAAAAATGTGGTTCGGAGCCGGGCGTGGTGGCACAAGCCTTTAATCCCAGTACTCGGGAGGTAGAGGCAGGCGGATCTCAGTGAGTTCGAGACCAGACTGGTCTAGACAGCGAATTCCAGGACAGTCGGGGCTGTTACACAGAGAAATCCTGTCTCGAACAAAACAAAACAACAAACTGTGGCTCGGATGTGGTCAGCGGAGCTCATGTCCTGCCCCAAATCTTCCCTTTTCTGCTCCATCTCTCCGACCAGTCCAGCACAAGACCCACCTCCTTTCAACCCTAAGAACCCAACCACCAACAGTCCGAGCAACGGAAGATGGGACCAGGTTACAAAGAAAGAATCGTCACTGCACTTACTAGTCTAAAAGCCTGAAGATTAGATGAAGTTCGGGCTGGAGCCTCTTCCACACCATAAAGAAAATTTCAAAATTAAATCCTTGCCGAGGAGCGACCAATCGTAGACGTGGTCTCTACAAGGTTTGTCGTCCTGAAAGGATCCAAGCGCAGCCTGGATTACGATTGGCTGAGAGCGCATCACCTCCTGGCCAATCGGAACAGAGGCGCTTCTTGTATGAATAAGGGAAGGCGGGCGAGAAGGGGCGGGGAAGCCGGAGAGAAAAGAGGGTGTGTCACGTAGCCTAGGCCGGCGGTGGAAGCTCTTATGCCATTGGCTGCTGCTGCTTCCGAGTAGTCCAATCGTAGACGGTTCCCCAAGTATGAACTTGAAAGAGGAGAACAGAAGGCAGCCAATGAGAATAGTCACATATACAACAGCCAATCCTGCTACGGCGTTTTGTGTCTTTGCCCAACAGAAAAATGTGTTTCATAAGGAGGGGCGTTGCCCAGTCGCCAATGGGCGGGCGCCGGCGGAAGGGGCGAGCCAATGAGCGCGAGACGTTGAGTGACAGCTGTCCAATAGAGACCCTCAGTGCTAGCACGGCTGGCAGCTTAAGCGCCGCCGCGGTCTGAGGAATGTCAACTATTCAACATGGAGGCGGAGGTCGATAAGCTGGAACTGATGGTGAGTGGGGAGTGAAGGAAACCTGTCGGGTGGTCGGTTTTCTCCACCAAAGGCCCAGAGGGTGAGGCGCGACTTGGAGACGCCGGAGACGCCGGGTGGTGGAGCCTGGGATCTGAATCGAGTTCCCTCCTCCTGCATCGAACGAAGGGAGCCACCGCCGCCGTGGTCTCTTAACCGCCGCGGGGGAAGGGGTTACATCCGGGGAACTCGTGAGGGAAATGGCGGGAGATGTTGAGGGTGTGGGCCTTTGTAATGCCCTGGTCTTCGCCTTCTTCACCTCCACCGGCTCCGGGAGCCGCGCCCGGCGCAGACACCGTCTCCCGTCCTCCCACCTCTCTTCCCCACGTGTGCCTGGAACGGTCTGTGAGAGCTCTGCGGTGGAGAGAGGTCGCTCACGTTTCCCCGAGAAGGGGCGATGGAGGACGAGGTGGGGCAGAAGTCCAGGGGCGCGGAGATTGGGGCTCCACGCTTCACCCCCTCGAAGGCGAGCTGGGACGGTCTGAAAGAGGACGCTGGACGTGCACGAGAAACTTGCCCGCGCGCGGTCCCGCAGCCCCGGCGCCGTGCGGCCCGGAGGTGGCGTGGGAGAGGAGCGAGCCGCGGGCACCGAGCCGCGGGCACCGAGCCTGGAGCCCCTTCCTGCGGCCGGCGCGTGCGGCATCGCGCCAGGCCGGGCCGGCTGCTTTCGAGCTGCCCGCTTTCTCGCCTCTGTGCAAGTGGAGCCCGGGACCTCGGACCTCGGTGGCCGCTGGCGTGTCTGGCGTGCACTGGGCGCCCAGCCCAGGGGCCTTCTAGTTTTCTCCGTGAGGGTTTTCCCCCGTTACTCGTTCTCTTTATTCTCGCCCTCCCATCTTTGCACTGGACGCTTGATCTCCGCGCCTTTTTTCTTAGTTCCCGTCTTCTGTCTTCGGCCTTCTTTTGCATGATCACTTTTCTTCCAGATTGGAATAGCATCCTCAAAAAAGTACAGAAGGTGAAGGGATCACTGAGTTCCCCCAGGTCCTTAAATAACCAGATTAATATGAAAAGTAAAACATTTCTTCCTTCGCTCGTAATCTGTAATCTGTCCTTCTTCCCTCGGCCTAGGTATCCGGTGTGTCTGAGCTACTCTCTCCAAAGAGTATCTTGAGTCTGTAACTTCTGCCTTGGAAAGGACTTTGGGGTGATCCTGGAAGATAGGAAGTTCCACTCCCCACCCCCATTCTCATCCTAGAAAGTGTGAGGCCTCAAGTTTCTTTTCTCTTGCGTTAAGGAATTCAGGTGTTTCACATACGTTTTATTAGAAGGCTTTCAGTTGCATTTATTAACATTGTATTTTAAACTTTGTGGAGGAGTATGGGAATGGGGGGGGGCTTTACGGGGAGGAGAATTTTCTGCAGCTTTACAATCTTGAAAAATGAATAGTTGACTTAAAGGGTGTGTGTGTGTGTGTGTGTGTGTGTGTATAAAATGTGTGTATATCAATATAGTAATATTAATATTAACACACACAACGTTAAGTATTGTTAAATATTGTGGTTAATTCTCTTGTTGCTCTCCCACATTATGAAGTCCTTCCTTTGGAGTGGGTGAAGGTAGTTTTGCCTTGTTAGAGGCTAATTCTGTTTTTAACAGGTTATTTTCTTTAGTTGGTTGATCAATTTCAAAGCTTTATCTAGCCTTTCCAGTACAATCAATACTCAGACTTTTAAAAAATATTGAGCAGATTATCTTAAGGAAAACACAAAAAGCCAGGAAAAAGTAGATTTTTAGGAAGTTATGAGATTGTTGAACTTTTTTTTTTAGATATTGTCTAAATTATGAGGTAGCTTTAAAATTTCTTTTTGCACGCCGGGCGGTGGTGGCGCACGCCTTTAATCCCAGCACTCGGGAGGCAGAGACAGGCGGATCTCTGTGAGTTCGAGGCCAGCCTGGGCTACCAAGTGAGCTCCAGGAAAGGCGCAAAGCTACACAGAGAAACCCTGTCTCGAAAAACCAAAAAAAAAAAAAAAAAAATTTCTTTTTGCAGAGAATGAAAGGAAAGCAGCTTTTCCCTTTGTGAGATTTCCTGAAATATACTTAGCACTTTAATTTTCCAAGTTATTATTTTTCATAATCAAAGGCTTAAAAAAAGCAAAATCAATTTTTTAATCATGATTTTCAATATTAACTTTAGTTTTTTATTAACCAGACAGCAAAAGATATTTCATCTTCAAATGTACCATGTTCTCAAAAGAAAAAAATGTATCTGTTGTAATTGTCTTTTCTAAGCCAAAGGTAAATGGTGTAAAAGTCTTTACATCACTTAAAAGATTTTCTAAGGAGCCCTTGGACGTATAATAGGAGTGCATGACGTTGTAAAGGCAATAGTTATTCTAACTCTGTAAAACATCTAATTTGAATGAATTTTTTTTGTATTTTTCTTGTGTTAACATCTAATTCAGAAAATTAAATTTGCCTTTTAAACACTTGTCTTTCAAACCCAATGCTTGGTTAGCATAGTTAAATATTCCCAAATTTGAGTTTTGTGGCCCAGGAGCTGAGGATAAGTATCCAATGTTTCAGCTCTTTTGAGTCCATTTTTTAGCAGGTTTAATCTGTCTAAGTAGCTGAACTGGACCATTTAAAGGAAGGTCAGTGAAAACAATGGGAACGTATTTTTGCATCAATCAACATTACTAATGGTGGAATAAGCTCACTGTAGGGTAACTTTTGTTCTCTGACATTCTCCCTTCACTAACTGATTGAGTGGCATTTGTCTCCTGCCCTCCTTTTGTGATACTCCCTGGGATTGTTCACAAAAGGAGTGTAATAGGATGCTTGGATTCTGTTTCTTGGTTTACATTTGACTTTTAGGGAAACTTATTTTATCCTCTCATTGTTTTCTTGATATTTCTAAGTTTGAAGGGAATGGATATGCATTTCTTCACTTCATAGGATGTTTTAAGAGTTAAAATGAAAGATTAAAAATCCTCTTGTTAGGTTACGTTGGGTTAATGTCCTGTTAAGAATATGTCGGTTCCCTGATACTCTCCTCCTCCTTTATTGTATTAGCCCTCAATAAACTCTTGAGTTAAGGAGGCACAAGATTTAAGTGCTCTGTGTGTGTGTGTGTGTGTGTGTGTGTGTGTGTTTGCACGTGTATTAGATTCCATAAAGATAAATTGGGTATATAGTCATTTGTTTTCTTTTTTTTAAATGAATATGAGTGTTTTGCCTACATGTATGTATGTCTGTGCAGGACATGTGTGCCTGGTGCTCAAGGAGGTCAGAAGAGGGCATTGGATCCCTTGGAACTGTTATGGATGATTTTGAGCTGCCTAGTGGGTGCTAGGAATCGAACCCAGGACCTCTGCACCAGGTGCTCTTAACCACTGAATCATGTCTCCAGTCCTTTGCATTTGTTTTCTTTGAACTAATTACCCAGAGGACTTGCTTTCTATGATAGGCAACCAATTGCTTTGGAAGAAGAGTCAACCAACATTACATTTCGGCAGAGAACAGAAATATTTTTTTCATACATTTGCCTCAGTAGTAATCATAGCTGGTTTTGTTAATATTAGTCCTCAAGTATTACTAATGCCCATGTCAGTTACTAAAGGCTCAGGACATATTACAAAATTCCTTTACATCTGCATGTTTATGTTTGAATGCTGCTGCTTACTTACATGTTAGTTGTCAAAAAACCAATTATCACTTGGGCTTTAAGTCTTTTACTCTCAAAAGAAGAACTTTGGTAAAAATGTTTTTGGGTTTTGGATATCTGCTGACCCAAACTGGCAACACCACACTAAAGTCTGTGCACACTGAAACTTCCATTCCTTTCCGTCACTACTGCTCGCGAATGCTCTGACTTTATTGCACTACTGTACTGTACAGCTAGCAGTGCAATAGTATTGTCAAAGCATCCGAAAGCAGGCCGCACACCTCTTTTAGTTCTTGTACATCTTTACTATTTATGAAAACTTTTCTATAGCTTTCAGTGCTGAAAACTGTATAATTTTGTTACCATGTATATTTTTAAAAGTCATTGTTTGAAAAAACATTAAAAATTTATTACTGTATTGCACTGAAAACTCACTACTGTATGTTTAAAATCATGGCTTGTCTAAAGGAATAGTACTTTGAAGTTTGCTTCTTTTTGTAACAGACTTGGATGGGTTCTGGCAACTCTTATGTCTCATTAGATTGTATGAGTTGGTGATAAATGGTCTCATGTCTATCTACTATGGTGACACGGTGTCTTAGTGTTAATTTTGGTATTATATAGGAAATGCTCAGATTTAAAACGTAGGAAAGGAGACTAGAGAAATGGTTCAGCAGTCAAGAACACTACAGAGGCCCTGAGTCCCCTTCCCAGCATCCACATCTAGTAGCTCACAGCTCACAGCCACGTGTAAATCCAGCTCCAGGGGATTCAGTGCCATCTTCTGGCCTCTGCAGGCACACAGATGCAAAGTCACACATTGATACAAACACACAATAATAAAATCTTTAAAACTTAGACATGCTTGATTATTGTAATTATAAAATAGAAACCATCATTTTTTGGTAATGCTTAGTGCACATTTTATGTAAGTAAAACTCAGAATTTTAAGTGTACACTGTGATGAGTTTTGGCAAATGTACACAATCAGGTAACAACCTCTACTACTAAGATAAAAAACATTTTCATCATAGTGAAAAGTTCCTTTGTGCTGTCTGCAGTTTCTTCTCAAACAGTAGTTTTTTAAACTTTCTTATGAATGGACTTATACATTAATTGGTCTTGTATGTTTGCTTTTTTGCACTTACTGTAAGTATTTTTGTCATTTTATCTTGTTGCATGCATTGACAACTGACTCATTTTTATTGCTGAGTAGTATTCCATTGTATAA